TTTGGGTGCTGCAGGAAGACCGCTTAGAGCCACTGATAATTAAGCTCCCTGCTGCAGGCTGTTGGGGAAGTGGGAGGGACGGTGTTCCTGGCAGAGGGGACAGCAAGGGCAAAGGCCCTGAGGCAAGCTTGGAGTATTCAAGGAGCTGGAAGAATGCCAATGAGGCTGATGCATCCAAAGAGAGGGAAAGATTGACACCGGAGGAGTCTGGGGAGAAGGCAGGTGATCACACACAATTTAATTTTAAGAGTGGCAAGAAACCACTTACAGATTTTTTGGGCGGTGATGGAACAGAAGCATATTTGCATTTTTTAAAAAGTGCTGTGAGGACTGGAGGGGAAGGGGTGGGCGTGGAGTGAGCGGGTAAGGAAGCACTGTGCTGGAAAAGGTGCGGAAGACACAGGGTTTCCCACAGGGCAGAGCAGGGGGTGGCAGGGACCCTCAGAAGTGTGACCTTGAGATGTGTTAGAAATGGAGCGTGAGGAAGTGGGGGTGCTGCAGCCCTGGAACCCTGGACATGCCCCCCCCCCCGTGGGGTGGGCCTGCCCTCCAGCCGCCCTGAGACCCTGAGCCCTGACTGCCCCCTGGTGTCCCTGGAGCAGGGAGGTCCTGACCCTGCACATCTCCCTCCTTCACTGCTGTCACCTTTGTCCTTCAGTACCACCATTATCAAGTCCACACCTTGACAGCTGAAGGTGACCTTTAGGTCTGCTTCAAATGTGTGTTACTCTGGACTGCACTCGGTATGTGATCCAGCCGCTCACCCTCCTCTGTGGCGGGCCCTCTCTCCTCGTTGCGCTGCGGGGACCCCTTTCCCCAAGCTCCCGCATGACCTCGGTTCCGTTTGTTACATCCTCATAAATCCGCCGAGTCGCTGTCCTCTTTCCATCCTTCTGGGTCAGCCAGGGCTCCATTACCGCTCATCAGAATTATTGTAAAGCTTCTATTTTCTGCCATACCAGCAGTCTCGCCCGCTTCCAGTCAATTTCACAAATTTTTCTGCTCAAAAACCTTCAGAGACTGCTGATCGTCCGCTGGAGGGACAGCAAACTCTTCAGCCTGGCCTGAGGATCAGGCTTTGACTGAAGATTCTCTCCCACCTTTCTCACACCGACAGCCCGCCCCCCTCGAGGGTGTTTTCATCTGGAGACTTTGCTTCTTCCGCACCCCTCACTCAGCTTCACACCCCTGCCATCCCCACAACTGCAGCTCAGAACGACTTCCTTGGGGAGCTCCCCAGTTGCCTCCCCCTGATCCCAACCAACGTGGAGCCTGACCTTTCCTGGGACCTTCCTCAGGCATCTGTCCTCGCCACCTGCTTTGCTGCCTCACCATTTACAGTGGTGGAGAGGTGACCCTGAGGGAGACCGGGCTCCAGGAGGAGCCGGGGGCTGGATGCAGGATGTTTCCTCCGAGTGCTTCCAGGCTTCCAGGCACTTCCAGGCAGAAGTGCTCTTGTGTAACAGCTGCTAGAAGGCAGGGTCTGTAGTGGGCTCATCTTTGTAGCCTCACCCCCAGCACAGGTGTGGCAGGTGCAGGCCAGGTGAGCACCTTAGGGTCCTTGGTGCAGGGACTCAGAGACAGAGATTAAGGCCTCCAAGCGAAACCTCATGGAACGGTGAGATTGCTGGAGTAGACAGGGAGGGATTTGGATAGGAGGGGTGATAATGAAGATGTTCTAAGAGAGGAAGGAAGGAACTTCCAGGGAGAGGTGGAGAATAGCAGGGAGGCTAGAGCTGGGCTTGGAGGAAGGTCGATGTTCCATCTGTTGGGTTGGTTCTGTCTGAACAGGTGTTAGACAGAGAGGGAAGAACAGATTTGGGCAGGTGCTTGAACAGAAATTTGAGACCCAGCCTCCAATGCTGTGTCCCACCAGGTCAAGGATGCTAGATGGGACCTCCTGTTCCATCTCATCTGTAGGGGAATAGCCAGACAAAAACACCCACCAGACCTGGTACAATGGTCTGTGTGAGAGGAGCTGGAGCAGGAAGGGACACTGAGGACCTCTTTCCATTCACGGTCTCATCTTTTGTGCTGGTCAAGTCCCAGGGAAGATGTTGAGGTGGTGGCAATCTCAGCCAAGGACATGGCGAATCCCCAGGGAGGCACAGAGCCACTGAGACAGTTGCATAGATCTTAGGGATTTAGGTGGCAGGAAGTGAGAATGTGGGTGGCCTTGGAGGCGGGCCTTGAGATTGCTCCAGAAGAGAGGTACAAAAAAAAGAAGTCACCGGAGACTCTGAGGACCCACCTGTGTGGTCAGGCTTGACCTTGTGATCTAGGAACCATCCCAAACAGAGTGGATCTGCGTGCCTGTCCTCAAACAGGGGTGTTAGCCAGGTGAGAGGAACAGGCTGAAACCAGCCTCCCTATGGGCCCTAGATAGCCACAACGTCTGGGAGAGAGTTCTGAGGTGGCAGGATCCTGTCCCTGTGTTCTCTCTTTGTCTCATCCCCCGCCCTCCTCTCATCTTTGGCATACCCCCCCTCCCGTGTCCTGACCCCACAGCCTCTACTTCAGCCTCTGAGCCAGGTTCCCCTCCCAGTTCCATTCAGTGAAGACTTGTGAGCTCTGAGGAGGACAGCCTCTGGTGGCGGCCATTGTCACCTCTGCAGAAGGAGGGATCAGACTCAGTCTCATTACCTCTACAAGCAGCTTCCTTCTTGCTAGAGTGAGAGGGTGTTTGGAGAGGGACTGGGAAGGAGTGACACTTTCCTGTATCCTCATCCCTTGCTCATAACCTGTGACTTTCTCCCATCATGCCTGCCAATCTGGGGCAGTAGGTTGGGCTGAAAATCTGGAGGGTCATTGGTTTGTGAGGAAAAGATATAATGAATCTAGTTTTTGACAAATCTAGCAGCAGGATGGATACACATGCCTGGTATCATTCTACTAATGGAGCCACGGGAATGTGGGCCATGACTCCATGCCAGCTCTGTGTGTGTGTGCTCAAAAGACATTTGGAGAGGGATTTCAAAGGAAGGGCCTCAGAGGATGGACTGATGTTTGGTTGTCCCATATATCTGAGCCCTTTCTACAGTAGGAAGCATTTTCTCTCTATGACCTCATTTCATTTGTGCACTCACCTACCATTGCATACCTACTATGTGCTAGGCACAATTTCGGGCACAGCCCATAGTGGCAAAACAAACCAAGTCTTGCCTCTTGGTAGCAAATTCTAAAATATAACATTTGGTTGTCTTAAGTATCATGAAGTCTCACAAAGTGGGTGAGGATATAGAGGATGAGTCCATGTGTGCCGAAAAACATTTATTACTAGGAGTAGGTTCACAGTCCCAAGATCTGCAGCCAGCAAATTGGAGGCCCAGGAAAGTGGATGGTGTAGCTCTAGTCCTGAACCAACAGGCTTGACACTAGGGAGAGCCAAGATTCAGTTCAAGGTAAAAAAAAAAAAAAAAAAAAAAAAAACCAAAAAACAGGGGAAAGAATCCTGTTCAAAGACAGGCAGAGAGTGCTCTTTTTTTTTTTTTTTTTTTTTAATCAGTACCAGGGATTGAACTCACGACCGCCTGCTTACAAGGCAGGTGCTTATGCCACTGAGCTCTTTCTAGCTCAGCCTGTTTCTCCATTCAGGACCTCTGGGATGGGTGAGACCAGCCACAGTAAGGATAGCAATCAGTTTTATTCCTTCTCCTGATGCAGGTGTTAACCTGAGCTAAAAATACCTTTAGAAGCACAGGATGTTTGACCGAATAGCCAGCACCCTGTGGGGAGGCCAAATTAACACCTAAATATGACCAGCACAGCCTCTCTAAAAAGGCCTCAGGTGACAAAGGTGCCTAGTGAGCCACCAGGCTAAGCCAGGGGGATGGAGGAGAAAGGCATCCGGGTAAAGGCAGGGGCAGGCTCGGAGCCCTGAGGCCAGCTGGCAGTGTGGAGTTCCACAAGGTGAGGTCAGAGAGGAGATGGGCTGGGGTGGATGTAAGGAACCCTTAGCTTCATTGACCATGGCAGAGCCTGTGGGTGTCAGTCTGAGTGAGACGGAAAGACCCCGAGGAGTAAAACTTTAAGCAAAGACGGAATGGCCGGGGTCACTCAGGTGCTGTGTAGAGCCTGGACTGTGGGTGTGATCATGAAAAAAGGGGGACCCACTGGGAGGCTGGTGGGGTGGTACGAAGCAGGTGAGAGCCTTCTCAAAGATATACCCAGCGATATTCACGGAGCAGCTTGAGTTGAAGTGAGGGAAGAAGAAGTCAGGGATGATTCTAACGGAAGGTTTTGCCCTAAAGCTGGATTTCCATTTCCTGATGTAACAAGTGAGATCCCACAGGGGAAGCCTGCGGGGCTGTGCAGCTTGTGGTAAGCACTTGGTAAAGGGCAGTGCTGGAAAAGCCCAATCGAATCTGATGGAGGCGCCTGGGAAGAGGGCGCCACGGTGATGCCAAGGAACCCGGGGTGGGGGCCTGTGCAGGAGAAGGAGAAGCTACTGGACTCCCTGGGGGCCCAGGCTCCAAAATCTGTGTGGATCAGTGAAAACACACCAGGAGGATGCACTCTGCTGTCCCCCACCCATGCTGTCCCCTCCCTCTGAGTAGCAGGATTCATGGGGACCAGGCAGAGCTCACAGTGAACCGTGGCAGTTCTCCATCTTGTGGCAAGCAGCACAGCCTGCCCAGGTGTCTGCAGCTCAGTGTGGGACCTGGCCCCCAGATGAACATCTGGGCAAGGAGGGCCCACTTTCTGGGCAGGGAAGATTCCCTCCTCTTCCTCTCAGATGGCCAGCAAGGCCCCCCATAAGGAGGCAGTGTGAGTGCTACTCAAGCCTTGACCCCTTGTGTGGCCCCAGGCACTCCTCTGCTGCCTGCCCTGTGGCTGCTACCTGTGGCCACATTCTGGTCCCTCCTAGCACCAGCAGCAAAGCAAAGCCCAAACCTCTGTGTCTCTAGGGTGGCCTCTGCTAAAACACTAAGCACTGCCATGTTGTGAGTTGGTGCAGGCCCCCAGGCCACCCTCTCTAACAGGTCCCAGTTGCCTCCTAGACTGCTTCGGGAAAAATGAGACATCCACCGACTGCCCCTGAGGTTCGAAGCACGATGGAGGCAGAAGCCAGCCATTCGCACACCCTTGGGTCAACACTGCTGGGATCTCTTCTGCTTTCCGTAGCAGTGGCCTCTGGGACTCTCCAGGTAAGGCAGGCAAGGCTCTAGCCAGCTGGCTCAGAGGCTCCTAGTAAGCTTTACTGTCTTCATAGCTTCTGGAAGCAGTGACCACTGTGTGACGTGGGAGCTTGGCTGCCTCTTTTGTGGAACAGCCTTTTGAGGTAGCAGGAGGGGTTTGATCATGTTGGCTGTCACTCTAACAGTGATGTCCACCCAAGGAGACCAGAGCCATGTCTGAAAGGTATCTCAGGGTAAGCTCTGGGTCTCATCCAATGGCAGCATCTTCCCATTGGGTTTCTTGGTGTCTTGAGACTCTGAGAGAGTCCAATGGAGACAGGGTAGGCACCAAAGACCTTGAGCCCCCCAGCTGACTGAACTCCAGCCACTGCACAAGGCTGCAAACTCTCCCAAGGTGGAAGAGAAAGCAGGGAGCCATGGACTGGGGAGGGAAACAGGAATACAGCCCTGTGCTGGCGTGTGCTGCAGCTCTGCTTTTAATAACTGGCCAAGTAAGAATGGGGATGAAGTGGGCTAGGTGGACTCACAGCTGGGATCACTGCTACCACCTGCTTTCTGGGGCTCCCAGCCCTCCCTGCTCCCCTGCGTTCTCTCCCCAGCCCCGCATCTCCCAACCACAGCCCATCTGCAGGTGTGGGACCATCCTGGAGCGGCCACGCCCCCCCTCTTGAGCAGCAAGGTGCTGTCTCCTTTGGATCTTTTTGCGGTCTGGGCTTGCTGTTTCTTGCAACGGTAGTCAGGAAGCCCTTACCCCAAAAAGTATCTACGGGAGGCCAGGTCCACCGCAGAGACCCCTGAATGCTCAAGGTGAGTCATACACAACAGAAGAATGGACGGAACTGGCAGTTTCTTAGGGTCAGTAGTATCCTCAGGTGAACTGCTGAGGTTCTCTATGCTTCAGAGTTACACACCCCCTTAATCATTTCCTGGTGGGCCATGCCTAGGGGACTCCACAGGTAAGGACAAAGGGGTGGACCTATAAAAGGCCGGGAAGACCACAAGGTTGACTTTGGGGATCCTCATTCTCCTATGTTCTGTCTTCAGCCTGCACACAACCAACCTCTGAGCTCCTTCAGGGAATGACTCTTCCGGCACTGTGGGCACTCCTGGAAGAACTATCACTCAAACATTCTGTCCTCCCTGCCCCCTAGGTGGACATGAGACCCAAGACAGGCCTGCAAAGGGAATCCCTTGCAGGGGACTCAAGACTGAGAACGAACTGACTGATACCAATTGAACCCAGCAGCTGCTCAATGAGATTAGAAGCTCCTGCCACCTGGATCGCTGAAAAGATTGCTGTCTGCTCACCTCTGGTGTGAACTTTTGATGGCCCCCTTCGTTCCGTGAACCATCCCCAAATCCTTCAAATAAAATTCTTGATTACTGAAGTTAGGCAGAGTCAATAGATTGCTCGCCTTGGATATAGAGACCTCTAGAGGGAGGAGAGAGAATTGTGTGCCTTGGAGAAGAGGTGGAAGGGACAGAGCTGGGGGGAAGGTCTGCGTCACCTTCTTGGGAGAGGCTGGCACACAGAGAGGGCAGGTGTCATATGCGAGGGTTTGGGCCAGAGCCCTGGAAACTTTACTAAAGTTAAGAACCATGTTGGGTTAAAAGAGAGAAAAGAGCTAATATAATAGCAAAAGATTTGAAGCAAGGTCAATGAAGTCCTTATTTTCTAAAGGAGACAGAAAATGAGTTATGACAGTTGCAGGTGGCAGTGGGTTCCCTGTCTCTTCCACCGTGCGTGGCTGGGTGGTCACCTCTGTAGCTGCGATGAGGCCACTGAAGGTCAGGGAGGTCCGCAGGCACCTGTCTCATTTCCCACCACTGACAGAGACCCTGAGTACCGTGTGCTCTCTCCTGGGAGGAGACTGGGCTCCCACAATGCCGGGCCTGCCCTGGGCCCTTTGCTTGTTACAGAGCCACAAGTCTGAGATCTTTGGTACCTGGAAACTTCCTTCCACCTCAGAAGCTGCTACGGGCGATCCCAAGGCAACTTGCTAGCTGGTGTGTGGCCCCACGCTGAGTTCAAGCATGCTAAAGGACCCCTGAGCAGGGCTGAGGTTCGCTGGGGAGGTTCAGGAAGGAGGGCTGGGCATTGGGATGAGAAGCGATGACTGTGGGTAAACTGCGCCCACCCAGACTCAGGCAGGCATCCGTGGGAGCAGGCAGAACAGGCAGTGCTGCTGGGCTGACTCATGCCCATGACCCCTGCAGTTCCTGCCGCTTCCCTCCGGATCTTCCAATTCCACTCGCTGCAAAACAAAGCAGGTCTTACGGCCACCTGCCCGCAGCAGGCAGGTAGGAAGAGTGTGCAGCTCAAGGGTGGCATCGTGTGGTCATAATGGGTAGTGCGCTCAGGCCTCCATCACGTGCTGGGTCTCTTAGCAAGTCTTGCCAGACTGAGGCACTTTTCCCGAAAGCAAGAATCTTTCCCAGCAGAATCGGTTTCGGTGCAGGACAGTCTCGAGGGGCACAGAGGCCAAGAAAGGGTGGGGGAGAAGGGAAGGCAGAGGGAGGAGGTTGCTGGACGGGGCCTGGCCCTCAGTGAGGGTGTCTACAGTCTACAGCTCTCCAGTCGCCCTCAAGGTGGGTTTCTGGGTCCCTGCCCAAGGAGTTTTGACTGTGATTAGCCCTTTACTTGAGCATCTCAAGTTGCAGTCCGCAACCGGCAGGGACCTCCTGGTCCTGCAGAAGACATTATTCAGAAAAGGATTCCAGTTCAGGAAGGAATCTGGATTTCAGGGTCAGTCAGATCTGGAGTCAGATATCATGCCCCCCTATACTAGCTGTGTGACTTCAGGACAGTCCTTAACTTTCTCTATGCTTCAGTGTCTTCATCTGTAAATCAGAGATAATAATACCTAGCAATGAGCTCATGTTGGTACAACGAATGACCTCTCATAGAAAGGAGGACCCCAAATCTGATCTAGAGGGTGTTAGCTCAGGGTAGGATCAGCTGTGCATGGCTGTCTTTCTAGATTTGTGTGTGTGTGTGTGTGTGTGTGTGTGTGTGTGTGTGGCATTTAGCAATAACTTGTTGATTGAAAGCAGCAGTGTCGCCTGTCCCCTACCTCTCCCACCCAGACAGACAAGAGGCATGATGCTGAGAACCCACTCATTTGTGCCCTGACCCAGGGTGCTTTGGGAGGGAGCAGGGGGATGGTCCACCTCGCAGGAAGGGCTTGGAAAAGGCAGAGGGCGCTGTTGCCCTGCAGCTCTCCCAGGGTTTTGGGGGGGGGTTGGAGGGGTGTCCTGACTTCAGGGTCACCTAGAGAGGGAGGGAGAATTTGAGGAGGTGGCACAGAAGAGGTGAAGGAAAGTCAAAAAGAAAAGGTAAGTATCAGTAAAGTAAGGCAGAATGGGAAGCCTCTCTAGATGGCTGGACCCCCTCCCATGGTTCCTAGTACCAGCTGTAGCAACCTATAAAGTGACTTTTCCAGGCACCAGGGACTGAGCAGGCCTGAGCCACACCTACTTTTCTGAGCTGGGGTTTCTGCATCTGTAAGCAAAAGGAATATGCCGGATTCTTTCCCTGAGCTGCCACCTCCACCTGGAAACAGGCAGGCAGGGACTGTGTCCTCAGTGCTGTGCTTGAAGTGGGCACTGCCTAGGGTGTGGGAGGGGCTCCTGAGCCTGGCAGCCAGGAAGGAGGCAGGCTGGGCAGGTTCTGACAGGGAGGAGGCAGAGGAGTCACCAGCAGCGGGAGTCCCCAAGCCCACCAGGAAGAAATGTCAGATAAACCCGCAGCTATTGTCCCGCATACCCCTGATGGCACAGGAGCCTACGTACTCCCATGACGCTGTTCCATGACGTTTGCATCCTACTATCTATGAGATGATCTTCCTCTGGCCAGCAGAGCCTGCAGGACTTCTTTGTCCTTCCCAAGGTGATCTGGGTCTGGGGGAAAAGGACAGAGGAGTGAAAGTCAAAGGCCTTCTTGATGAACCAGCATGTCAGCTGGAGGGGAAAGGGTACTGCCACTTGGCGCTTTCATTTTTGCCTTCTCTGGGGTGTACCCTGGCAGTCCTCTCCTTGCCTCCCTCCTTTCTTTCTCCCCGCAGCATCTATACCTTGTGTAGCCAGGAACCTTCTCAGAGTAGGAGGCTAAGTGTGCCGGTCCTGTTGGGTGTGCTCCTTAACAGCTGTGGTCAGGGAGCACTCACCATAGGGCCGGGACCTCCAGCCCAGTGCCCCAGCTTGGTGTGGAGTCAGGCTTGCTTTATGCAGGGTGCCCTGGGCCAAACCCCATAATATGAGCCTCCTTTGCTGAGAGACTCCTTTTGAGATGCACTACCATACTCCTGTACCCTGGTTTCTAGGACAGTGGCTCTTGAGGTATGAATCACTTCGAGACCAACAGCTCAGAATCACCTTAGATCTTACTAGACATGCAGATCCTGGGGTCTCAGCGCCAAGGGTAGGCTGGAGAGGGCAGGCGTCGCCTTGGGAGGACAGCTGTGCACAGCCCCTTCCCAACTCCACAGTCAGTGACAGTCACACTGAGGGCTTGAAAATGGCCGGGATTTCACACCGTGGAGACTGGCAAACACTTGGGATGTTTGCTTGGTTTTCTTTTCAGTGAACCTGTCCTTCACCCAATTCTGGAGCAACGCTGGGCCCCATCCAGACCCACTGAGGGAGAAACTCTGATGAGGGAGCCCGGCAGCCTGCGCTCTCATTTGCTTCCCAAGGGACTCCAAGGTGCACAAGAAAGAAAGGAAAGTACTCTGGGTTGTGGATAGAAAAGGGAGGGTTTGGGGGTTTGGAGAAGGATTTCACAAGGAAACTTGGGAAGGGTAAAGAAAGGAGAGGGAAGTAAACCAAACTCCGGGGCTTTCCTCTGGGCAGAGGCAAGGGCAAGCAGTCCCCCTGGATGGAGGTGAGGCCTCCTGGGCTGCCCAGTGGGTTGGATCAACCGACTTCAGGTTTTCTCATTGTTCTGTGGATCTGGATAACAGCGATGCTTTTAATTTCTGAGTCATGAAATCAGAACAGCATGGAATAATTGGCTGGAAAATGTCCCTGTGGATGCATATTTCTACAACAAGGAAAAACACATCTTGGGTATTTAATGGGACATACAAGGAAGGAAAATCTTAAAAGTTCCTTTCAGAGAAGGAATGAAAATGGGAAATCACATTACCCATTACTATTCTTACAAATGTGTGCAAAATGCCAGTGGAATTTTCTTTTCTTGTTTCAATTTTGAAATACTCTGAACATAACAGCAAAATACAAGAAAAAATAAAAAGCCTTTTACCCACCAAAAGAAATGCTAACATTTTGCCACATTTATGTCTCTTTTTTTTAAAAAGAAAGAAAACCTTCCAGACACAGTTCGAGTCCCCTTTGTACACCTTGTCCTCCCTCCAACTTTGCAGCAAGTGTCCTGAAATTGGTGATGTTCTGTTCTTACACATGCTTGTGCCCAATTGCTCATAAATTATACCTAGCAATACTTTGAGTGGTTTTAATTTGCATAAATGGTGTCACGCTGACCTTATTTTTCCAGAACTTGCTTTTTTATCTAACCTTGTGTTTCCAAAATCCACCCACATTGTTGGGTTGATTTCCAGCTCATTTTAACTGCTGAACAACATTAAGCTGTACGTAGAAATCATAATTCATCTGCTCACCTAATGATGGACATTTAAGTTTGCTATGGTTACATAAAGGATGAATAATAGGAACAGGGAATAGAATTTTTGCAAATAGGAAGATCTAAAGGTAGAGGGGGAAGACAGGGAGGGGAAGGGACATGAAAAGAATTAATATGTGTAATGTACATTCATCAACTCCCCACAATGAATTGTACTCATTACGTACTGTAAACATGCACTATCAAAACAATTCGCTATGGTTTGTTCCCTCCAAAATGAGTTGAAATGTGATTTCTAGGGTGGTAATGTAGGGAGGTTGTATGTGATTGGTCATGAATGTACTAATCCATTCATGCATTAATGGGTTATGGAAGGAATGGTTTTGTTATAAAACAAGCTCTCTCTAACTAACTTGCTTTGCCCTGTTGCAACGCAGTGACAGGGTCCAAACCAGATGTTATGGCTTATATCTAGGTGTCCTCGGAGAGCCTTGTGTGTTACACACAAGGTGTTTGGAAGGTGATTGGATTATGGGGTTTAGAGCTGACTTGCTATCTTAGGAGACAGCATCTGGGAAGAAGAGGGGGCCCCTAAGGTCCTGCCCTGGATGGGTGTCTCCGTCTGTTGCTCCTTCCTTCCCTCTCCGCTTCCTAACCACCACGATAGGAGCAGCTTTCCTCTGCTCAGGCCCCTTCGCTATGCTGTTAACCATGCAAGAACTGAAATTTCAAATCTCTTCTCCTGTAAGTTGTGAGTGTCAGTGGCCCAGAGATGAGGAAAGTGACTAAGACATCAAATGCCATGCAGATGTCAGCACCCTCCTCTTGAATTTTCCAGCCTCAGAAACCATGAGCTAAATAAACCTCTATTCTTTTGAATGACCCTGGCTCAGGTATTTTTACAGCAATGGAAAATGGGCTAAGACAAAATTGTTTTTTGTTTTGAATTCGTCACTGTCACAAGTGATTCTGCAGCAAACATTCTTGAACGTGCTTCTCTAGAGGAGGCCCCATGTGTGGGTTGCAGGGTCACGGAGAGGGTGCATTCCCACCTATAGACACGTTGTCAGTTTGCTCACTAGCTTGTCTGAACCAGTTCATGCCTCTACCAGCAACATATGATGCAGGGCTAAAACATGCTTTGTTTGGTGTGCGCTTGGATTGTGTTCTTTCCTGAATATAAAATCAATCATAAATATTAAACCACCCCTCACATTTGTTCTCTTGGCTTTGCTATCCCTTAAAGTCTTAAATCCTTCAGCCATGAATTCTTCTGCCACTAGGGCTTTCCAGAATATGAACCTAGTAGCCAAGAATGGATGACTGGTATGCATGTGACAGGGTGGAATGTCCCTGTACACGTACATGACTGTGCGTATGTGTCTGTAGCCTTGTAGCAAAGACAGGAAGGAGAAAGACTAAGAAAGGCAAGGCTCCCATGATGTTTTCTCAACAATACATCAACCACAAGAAGAAGGGGCGCTCCTAGTGACCCAGAACCCACGCTCAAGCTCTTGGTCTTTCCCTCCCCTTGTATTTGTCATGGGCCAGCATGGGACAGGAGTTGTTCCAGGATCTCATTCTGCAGCTCTGTCTTCCCTGCTTCTCTGCCCCCATGAGGCCTGGAGCTCTTCACTACGTAAATTTAGGGGAGAAGAAGGAGGTGAGCTGTGGGGTGGAGGGCCAGTCCCAAAGCTCATCTGCGACAAAGGGCTGATTTTGGCCCCCAAGCCTAAGGGCTCTCTGTCCATGCCAAGGACTGCCCCTGAACCTGTGCCCGGGGGAGAGCAGAGCCACTAAAATCTTATACTGGGCAGTGACAGGACCAAGCCTAGCTCCTTCCACCACCAGCCTTCAGCAGAGCATCCTCCAGACCTCAGAAACTGACTTGAGAATAGGTGTTGAAAGGGACCACCACCAAACTGTCCAACTCAAAGGAGAGACATTTCAAGGCTCAGGGACCCGAAGTCAGTAAAAAAGTGCAATTCACTTTTGCAAATGGAAAGGGAACCAGGAGATAGAGGAAAGGATGTGAAAGAAGGAGGGGAGAATGGGAAGCAAAAGGAGTTAAGATGTGTTTTGTACAGGTACTAACTGCCCACGATGAGTGTAATCATAGTATACCACAAATTAGTCCTAATAAACATAAAAGCTTTTTTAAAAAGTGCATTTCACAGTTAAGTGAATGTTCAGGGGCCCAGATCCCAAGGACGATTTTTTCATGAGATACCACCCCACCCTCAACACCTAAAGTGTGGTCTTAAAGAGTTGTTTTTTCTTTAAAAGATGAAGTCTAGTTCTTATGAAGTCAAGGCAGGAGGATTGTGAGTTTGAGGCCAGCCTAAGCAACAATGTACAATAGCAAGTTCAGTGCCAGTTGTGGGCTACGTAGGAGGGCCCTATTTTACAAAAAGGAGTTCCATCGACTCCTTTTGATCTCACAGGGTCTTTGATTTATTTCCGTCTTGCTGACATGAAGCCTATGCCTCTGTCCAGGGCATCCCACAGGGGACTTCACCTCAGAGCCTCACCCGCAAGGAAATGGGGATGTGCAGAGGTGATGTCACTACATCCTGTGGCCCAGCTCAGCTGGAGAGGACAGGACAAACTGGGGAAAAGAGCCGGTAAGTAACGCATGCCACCCCTGGAGCTGGTAAGGGAGTGATGGAGGGCGAACGCGTCAGCAGCAAGTTTGAGCAATGAGCAATTACACCACAGCGTGTTTCTCAAATTCTTGTCTACTTTTAGCAAGCAGGCAACGCCATTCGGTAGGCATCTCGATTCTGAAATAGCTACAAAAAATGTTAAAAATGTTGTGTTGTGAGGATGTGCCCGCACTGACCTCTTTTCTAAAACAATGGTTAACGATTGTGTCGTGCGTCCTTAAGCAAATCTTTTAACCTGGCCATTCTTTGCTTTCCTCATCTGTGTGACCTGAGGGAAATGTTTTCAATATCTCTGGTGGTTCTTTCCAGACTAATATTCCTTGATTTGATGATTGATAATAAGCTCGCATTCTTAATACTCAAGCTATGTCTGCACAATGCCAACATCACTGGCCAATTCACTTAGTGTGGACAAAATGTTCTCTCCAATCAATTCTTTGGCCTGGTCAGATAAAACAACCAACTAATTGGCACCATCCTTCATTTCATAACTGATTTCCCTGGCATCGTCATGCCCAATGTTTCCTCCACAGCACTGTCCTGACAGGCTGTGTGTCTGGCACATGGGCGAGGTGTGTCATCCACAACTAGCTACTGATAAATTATTTTCAAGTGATTGAGGATTTGATCGTCAATTCAGACAGACTCAGTGAACCCCTTTAACACTAGGCAAGTGCATTCTGATATGCCCCTTTGTGCGGAAGAAGAAGTGGAATTATAGCTGGTGGATGGGGATTACCTGTAACCCTGAGCCAATGGGACACCCATGCAAGGGTGTCATCTGCAGCACATATGTCTGTCCCCTGAATCACCTACAGGATGATTAATGGGGACCTCTGACACATACTTGGACATTAAGTCACTAGAGACCAAGCCCTGGAACAATCTGATCTAGATGTGGACAGCTGGCAGCAGCCTATGATCCAGTAGCCAGCCAGCGAGGAAAGCAGTCCACAGAGCACCAAATAACAGGGCTGTTCAGTCTGCCTCTCTCTAGTCCCAAACAGAAAGGTTCCTCCAGCATATAAAGCATAGATTTATGCCTTCAGCATATAAAACAAGAATACAGCCAAGGAGGAAGTCAGGATATGTGAGCCTCACGGAAGCTCGTTATCTGCCAAAGCACAGCACGAGTCGAGTCCGTTCCCCAAGGTCCAGTGGGCTCAACTCTTCTCTTAAATCAGCCTATTAGTATTATCATGACTGCCTCAGCTGGCTCAGCCAGCACCTAGGAATGCTCTGGAGAGTGGGCTGCAGAGGAAGGGAGAGAAGGAGCACCTCCGTTAGGCACAAGAGGATTCTTCCCTCCCTGCAAGCCTGGCCTGATGGGGAGGGAGATGGGGGACCACTCTGATGCTGTATGGCTCCTCCCCCCTGTGCCAGGTGCCCTAGAAACTGTCAAGCTGAAGGGAGTGATTGCCACTTCTTTGGTGGGATGTGTTAGTTCCAAGCCCAGTTTTCTCCCATGTCTGTTTCCAGATCACCATTTTCTGCTGAAATGCCACACGCTGGCCATAAACTTAGAATTAGAACCATTCAGTGTCCCATGGGACTCTGCACTTCTGCCTCTGGGGAGGAAGCTTCCTAGACACATCACACAAGGAAGGTAGACAGCCACCCAAGCCCCAAGGAGCACTTGGACATTATTAACTACCTGCTATCAGCAAGAGTCAGGTAGGAAGCATCTGTTAAAGCCCCCACTGCCTTCACTGAGCAAAAAGCAGAGATGTCCAGTTCTAAACAAAGTCTAGATGCCAGGCGGTGTTTGTACCTGGCATCACCCCAATCTCCACTTGTTCTTCGGTTTTTATTCACCTATGCAGAACCAGGTCCCAGGCGAATTCCCACGGTCAGTGTGGGGTACTCTGACCTCCAGTGGATGGGAAATTCTATTAGGAAGCATGTAGAAGATGTCCATGGATTTGTGGCCAGTGCTTAGGGTAAAGTACAGTGAGAATGGAAATGAGACTGTGAGACTGAGTCCTGGAGAGCCATTCTACTTCATTTTGATCAAGATCCCAGATCCCCAGCCCAGATGAGAATCTACTAATTGGATTTCTACAACATAAGAGAGACGAGTAGTGGTTTGCTCGAGCATCCACAGAAGCGGATGGAGCCTAGTGAAAAATATTCACTTTGTGAGCCAGCTTGTAAACCGCAGGTAGACTGAGCTGGTTATGGTGGGAGTGTTTACTCCCTAGACACACAAATGCTACACACTGGGGCTGATTTTTCCTTCTTCTCCTTCTCCTCCTTTTCCTTCTCCTTCTTTCTCTTTCCTCTCTTTTTCCTTTCTCTTCCTTTTCCTCTTCCTCTTCCTCCTGCTCCTGCTTCTGCTTCTCCCTCCTTCTTGTTTTCATTACGCTTGTTTAAGAACTACTTTGCCAATATATAATGGCTCCTATCCCAGGTACAGAGATGGGATCAAAGGAATCAGTATTGTATATGGAAAAAAAAAAATGGAGCTCTCTTAGCCTTGAGGACTCTTGGTAAATATGACTTTTAGCATTTAGTGATACTCTGATCAGATAGCGGAATGTGGCTTCAGACACTAGATTTTACATTTAAAAGCTTTAGCTGAAGTGAAAATTACATGCAAATGTTGGGTTATACAGAGCTGCAGGAGTCTGCAGTCATGTTCTGGCAAAAAGCCTTTGCTGAATTCTCACTGGAGCTGTGGTCTCTCATTGATGTGGTTTCCTGGGAGGAAGTGTCTAGCCCAAGCCTTGCAGAGAGGGACTGCCACCCGTGTTGCGGCTGACTGCGCCCGTTGCTGTAGGGCTGCTGTTAGAAGAACAAAGAACACAGCACTCTAAAGAATCCATGTTGTGGATTGAATTGTGCCTCTTCAAAACTACTATGTTGAAGTCTTAACCTGAAAGTGACTGTCTTTGGAGATAGCACCTTTAGGGGATTATTTTGGTTATATAGCATAAGGATGAGGCCATAACCAATCTCATGTCCTCAGAGGAAGAGGAAATGTGGGCACACAACAAGGATGAGTATGCACATACAAAAGACCACGTGATGACACACTGTGAGCTGGGGAGAGAGGGATCACCAGGAACCAATCCTGGATCTTGAACTTACAGACCCCAAAATTGTGAGAATATGGATTTTGGTTGTTTAACCCACCCAGTCATGGTATTATGTTATGGCAGCAAGCTGACTGATACATCCTTTTATTTTATTTTATTTGCTTGTCTGCTTAATGATCAATTCTTTTTTTCTTTTTTCTTTTTCTTTTGTACCGGGGATCAAATTCATGACCTCATGCTTGCCAGGCAAGGCCTTATGCTGCTGAGCTGAATCCCTGGCCCTAATGATCAGTTTTTAAGAGTAATTGACACTCTTCCATGATTCTTCAGATCCTCTTAAGTCTGCCTGATGCCTTCAATGTGTTCAGTCTCTCAAGTATGAAACACCTAGCCAGGACCAAGAAAGCAGAGACAGAACACAGTATGGTCCATGGTTCACTAGTCACTTCTCTGTCACTGGGACAGATGCCCAACACTCACAATTTAAAGGAGGAGAGCTATGTTTTGACTCACGGTTTCAGTGTGTGCAGTCCATCGGTGGTTGGCTTCAAGGTAGAAACTGCGTGGTGGAAAGGCATGGCCAAGGAAAGCCACCCCAGCCCTGGCAGGCAGAAAAGAAAGAAGAGAAATGGGGTCAAAAATATTATTCTCCCCCATAGAGGTAAGGTGAGGCTAAAACAGGATAACAGAGTGATAAGCACACAGCACAGTGCTCAGGGCAATCCTCATGAGCAAGCCAGCCTGCGTACAGCCTGGGTCTGGGACAGGGCTCTTCACCTTGGCAGTGGGTAGTGGGGAAACCAAAGATCAAATACCTGAGAAAGCAGAGTCTTTCTTTTCCAAGTGGCCTGCACCACCGGGAGAAACTGGCACCCGACCTCTGCCTCCACCAGTTGTACTCAAACATGTGAAGCCCTTGGAAGATTGAACTGTGTATTGCAATACATAGGATAATGAAGTAAAAGTTTCTCAGGGTACCTGGCTCTCAACAAGCACTCAATAAGTGGTAATGATTTTTGTATGTACAGCACCCACAAGCAGTTTTCATGCCATCTCCCAGAGCAGTTGTGGTCTCAAAATTGAGGTATAATTTGAATACTACATTGTATTGACAAGAGCGACTTCATTAACCACTTTGGTTCAATTTTACTAAGGAGAAGAATTCTATTCATAGGTCATTCAAAGACTTTTCCAAGCCTTTCCCATATATTAAACCTCCCTCAATATATTGTTTTACTAGAGAAACAGATATAACATAAGATGTACAAATGTATAAGAAATGATAAGATTGACTTATGACAGTCGGCCACAGAGCTGGACAGGAAAGCGCACAGAAAGGATCTGCACACTGGAGACCGAAGGTTTTGGTCCAAGGCCTAGAGCTCACTGCAGTGCCCCATTAAGTCCATATCAGGAGGCCAATGGGTCTCTGTCAGAAGGCTGAAGGGAGTCTATGCTGGAAGTCTGAAGGATTCTCAGCAGAACTTGAAGCATCTTCACCAGAAGGCTGAATAGTCTACAACAGAAGCCAGTGAGTGCTCTGGAAGCCAGGAGATGACATACAAGGTAAAGGCGAGGACTGAGCCCCTGTAAAGAATAGAAGCATATGTGTCCTTCCTCACTTCCCGTTTACACCATCCAGGAGACAAACCACCTTAGGTGGGTCTTCTGCACCCTAGGGTGTAGAATTGCTGAGCCAATTTCATTAAACTCCTAAACCTCTCAAGTTGACACAGTCAGTCAACCATCACAACCCAACAATGCCCCCAACAAGAATGACTTCCTGCCAGAACCCAGCACATTCCAGCAGCTGGTCTTCCCTCTCTGATACCTCCTGATGAGGACTCCACTCTGTGGCTTTCCTAAACTTCACCCTTTGCACCTTCCAAATGTCTTTTTTTGTACCATGGTCAAAGGCATGGGCGACCTGGTGCCAGAATCCACTCTGACCCTGATTGCTGATAGCAGGATTCAGATCCTCAGAACCTGCTTAATACCAGAAAACAGGGCTTTCGTCACAGGTGGTCCTAACCCAGCAATGATGAGCCACATGATGCTGGTGGCGTCAACTCTGTGGCATCTGGACCAGAGTGCTTTGTACCTGACTCTCCACGTGCCTCCATCTATACTGGCTGAAAGCTCCTTCAGCATTTTCTGATTTTCACATCCTCTGAGATCTTGCTGAGCACACAGGGAGACTCAGGTAGAAGTTGCTTTGTGTCACTTTCTGCTTAAAAGCACTTTAAAACTCATGTTATGGAATGACCTGCTTTGTACCTTCCAAAGAGCAGGCTTTGTAAAGTCAGTGACATAAAGGGTCAGTTTACAATCTAACCTTGTCAGGGACCTGGTTGCTAAAGGACCTTTCTGTGGAGATTACTGATAAGAAACTCAACAAAGGATAAGGCTGACACAGGAATTCAAGAAAAGAAAGTCCTCCTGCTGATTCTGAAAAAGGCAATCAGGAGTTTCAACCATTCTGGAAACATCATACTTCACTATAATTTTTCTGTCTTTCTATCTGCAGACTAAAAAGTGGAGCTAGGACAAGGAAAATCAGGAGAAGCCAACACCTTCTTCAGAGAAGTTGTAAGGGATCAAGAGAGAGTCCTTAATGAGACATCAAAAATCAAGGCTGGCGGGAAGCTGCAGACCTGAACTCTGGTCAAATCTGACAGTACCTAAGAAAGCTAAAATATTCAGTCTGTTGACTCTACTGAAGTCTAGAGAGGAACCAGGACTAAATAAATAAAGGATGAAAGCTCTGGTAATTAAGGTATCAACTTTTTCTTACATATTTATATTTCTTTGAATTTAACTCCAACTGTATATCTTGTTTCAAGTTAGTATTTGTTGATATCTTAATTTGATATTCTTTGTTCTCAGCTATTTTAATAAAAAATTCTACTTAAATTTATATAAAGGACATCAATGCCACTAGAAATGAATGCTTTAATTATTATTGCCTTTGGGGAGTTCAGCAATTCCAACCTGGCTGGATCCTTGGTGGCATTTTGTTCCAAGGACAGGCAAGGAGTTTCAAAGGAAATAAACAATTTGTAAGGTGCTGGTGATGCTGACCTATGAAATTCTGATCACTGCCATAGTATTTGATCAATACTTATGAACAAACCACACCATGGAAGAAATAAGTCTGAAAACACAGACACTACTGTTGAAGATACTGGTGTTGTGCTTTGTTTAGATGTCCCCCCAAAGCCTCATGCAGTCATGGAGGCAGATGAATCTAGTGTTTGTGGTTGATTTGTTGTCTAGTGCTGGGACTGGCAGTGTGAATGCTGCACCCACCCAGGGATGGGTAGCCAGCATGCAATGTAAGGGAAGGAAGGAGGCTGCCTTTCTCTTTGGCCCGTCCACTCTTGTCTCTTACAGGTACCATGAACAGCTGCCCCTCATCCATGCCACCCTGCCTTGGGACCAGCTGAGTATAGACTGAAACCTCCAAAAACTAAGCTAAAGAAGGATTTACTTGCTTCACTTTGGGAATCGAGTACTTTATCTCAATGAGAGAAAAGTAATCAAGACAACTGGATAATAGTGAGAAGGCCAGACACAACATTTTTCTGGGGCAATGTTGCTGTGCTTTAGGTCAAAATGGCAGCAAGTGATCCCACCTCCACTGGGTTAGCTGGAAGAAACATTCCTGCAAAATGCCCCCAACACAGCACTGAGTTCTGCAATGTGAAGAGTGGAGGCCTCTGTGCAATGTCAACTCAGACCCACTGGAGATTCTGAGAGCCTAAGGGAGAAACTTGGGACTCGGGTATTTGGGGGCAACCCTCTTGGTTGGAAGGTGTAAAAAATGAAATACTGGAATCCCAAAAGATATATCAAACTACTCTATAGCACAAATTTTTGTTTCTCCTCAAAGATCCACATTCTCACCAGCATTTCTAGACCTCTTTGATTATTTGGGGCCACATGGCTGGTAGGAGTGGCAGATCTTGCTTCCAAGATGAGATATGGAAGAGCTTCACTTGAAATATCAACTCACTCTTTCCTCCTGATGCAGGGGCCATGGAGCCACATGAAATGTCAAAGGAGGATATGCTGTAGAGACTCCACACACCTAAGCTAGACATACTGTGAACACACAGTAAGCCTGGGATACGTAGAGCCCCTGTGACGTCAGAGCACATTTGTTCCTGAATCTTATGCCCCACCTGGTAGAGTATACACACACCTCAGTTCTGAGTAGTGCCTGTAATCAGACTGGAAGACAATAACACCTCTGCCCACGTGTAATCCTTAGGATGTCACTCCTCTGTGTGTCATTATCCAAATTCAGAGACACGGATAAATTGACCTTTCTGGTATGTCATTCTCTAGTTTTGTGTGTTTGAAAATACTAACTGAAAAGTTACTAATTGTCAGTAACTTCTTATTCACCCATCTATTTACCCACTATCCATCCATCCTTTATCCATTCATCCATCCTTCCCACATATAAGTTCACCCTCCTCCTCTTCCCATCCATCCATCCATCCTCCTGTCCATCCATGAATTCCTCTATCTATTTCACCTGTTTCCTTATAAAGAGAGCTAAGACAGCTGAAGTAGTGTTTCAGACTGAGCAATTTGTTTTGCCTTCCCTGCATCCCCAAGAAGATTCTAGGGATCCCTTACTTCAGTGGTTAATTTTTGAATCAAACTGTCCAGAACATAGTGCCCAGACAGTTAAAAACATTTTTCCAGGTGTTTTTATGGTATATGTGTTGGGGTGTTGATAAGGGTAACATTTAAATTTCTGGGCTTTGAGGAACCAGATTGTCCTTCACAATTTTTTTTATTGTTGTTGTTGTTTTTCTAAGAGAAAAAAAAGACAGAAGAAGAAAAACAAAAAGCAAAAGAGACAAACCAGAAGCAACAACAACAAACCCCAAACAACAAGAGTATAGGTTTTCAAAACAACATGGTAAGAACCGGGCATGATGGTGCAAGTCTATAATCCCAGCACTCAAAAGGCTGAGGCAGGAGGATTGTTGTGAGTTCAAGGCCAGCCTGGGCTACAAAGTAAGTTCAAGGCCAGCCTGAACTTCATGGTGAGACCTTGTCTCAAAAAGCCAAAAAACATGCAAACAAAAAACAAGATGACAGGAATTTAATAATGGTCGTAATACTGCATATTGTTATCTTCAGAAGGGCTGTTTAGATTACCAGATACAGACTTGTAAAATTGATCCAATCATGAATATTAACTATTCTTTTCCAAGAACTAATATAATTATTAGTATAGTCATTTTAGCTATGTTATGCATATATATACAAGTTTATGTCTTTTTTCCTTCCTTCTTTTCTCCTTTCCCCCATCCCACTTATTTTTTCTCTTTGAGAAATTTCTTACCCTTACATAGTATTTATTGTAGATTTTGGATCATATTTGCTCTTTCAGTGTCTTACATTAGGGAGACAATATGGTATTTACACATGTGAGTTTGATTTATCTCACTTATGAATATGGTCTCAAATCGTGTTGTCCTTTACAATGTTGGTGGGCCTTATCCAATCAATTGAAGGCGTAAGTAGAGCAAAGCAATCTGACCCTTCCCAACTAAGAAATAAGCCTCCAGCAGACCACCTGCAGACTCAGACAGGAACATTTGTCTTTCTGGGTCTCCAGTTTGCCCTGAAGGTTTTGGATTTGTCAGTCCCCAAAGTCATTGCAAAAGGCATTACTGATAAATGTCTTTATGTACACATGTGTATGCACATACACACATACAATTTCGAGCATATTGGTTCGAGCGCTTTGGTTTTGGGACATTAGGACAAAGCTCCTATGACCAATCTTGCCCTGAGTCATAGCCACCTTATCTCTTTGGGTCCTGCCTCCATAGTGGAGACTGCACCTGGCTGGAGAGCTCCCCAGTGGGGCTGTGGCACCAAGTGACCAAGGAGGAGTCTTGAACCATGTTACCCAGTCCAACCTTTGCACCTTCACCAATGGCCTGGTGATGGTAAATACCTTTCTCTCCTGTGATGCCAGGTTGCTGAGAGGATGCACTGAGAATAATGTATAAGAAAGTGCTCGAAGAATAGAAAGGCGCTATCCAAATATAGAGTGCTGTTACACAACATTCATTCATTTCACAAATGCACTCTCTGCCAAGAACTGTGCCGGGGGTGGAGAGCCAGGGAGGGAAGATGCAATCTGTTCTCAAACTCTTGGTCGTGGTCTTGTGGGTGAGACAGACAAATAAATAAGGGATTAGAATAGGGTGTGGCAAGTACTATAGTAGAGGCATGACCAAGGTAGGTGGGAGCCCTGACAGGAGCTCTTCCTCACTTGGGGGAGTTGGGAAGGCTTCCTGCAAAAGGCAACATCCCTGAAGAATGAGCAACACTTAGCAAGACGAAGTGAGAGCAGATGGATTCCAGGCAGAGACCTTCAGGTGTGGCCAAGGGAGCAAGGGAAGCATGTTTGGAGCAACAGCTCACCAAGTTCTCATCTGGGAGAAATGGGAGACAGGGGCACGGTCCAGAGCCATGAGGAAGAGAGCAGGTCAACCCATCACCTGGCCCCATCAATCCATCACCCAGCCAGGGTCCCTCCTGTTTGCAAACAGGATCAGAACCAATCAACTGCTAGGATGACAAGCAGAACCATGCAGAAACTCCTCTCCCTACACTGCAAGAGCATGCACACGCCTGTGACATGCAGACATGCACACAAGCAGTTCATTCGCAGAGACACACACAAACAGCATGCTTAAGTGTCAGATCCCACCCTGGATTTGCTAGCAGAAATATAAAAAGGCCTGCATGCCACATGCTTGCAAGCACACACTAGCTCTCAAGGTGCTGTTTAGACTCTGCCAGCTGTCATAGCACCTCATCATCACCATCCTTCCCACCACCTCACGTCCAACCTGCCCAGAAGCACCCCCGGAACCCCATCTCCTGGTGGCTCTGCCCCGACTGTTTGCAACATTAACACTCAGGGCCTGAGTGGAGCAAGCCATTCTGGAGCTGCTTTGCAACCCCTTGCTCCATCCCCACCCCCCAATTCTTTTCTTCTCTGGAGAACACTCAGCAGCAGAGGCTAATTTATGAAGTCCCTAAAGATTTGAACTTTCCACAGAATTGGCAGCAGCTTCTAGTGGGTTAGAGTCTAATTGGAGTAGAGCAGAAGCCGTGAGCGATGCTGGGCAGGGGAGGGAAAGAAGAAGCCACGGCCTGGAAACCACACCAGGACTCTCCTGTCTGCAATCCACAGATTCTCTTGTCTGCAAGTTGCTGAGACACCCAGACTCTGCATGTTGGGGAGGGCACCAAAGGTGATCCAGAAGTCTCAAAAGGCAAAGGGGTCAGAAGCTCTGAGATTGGAGGGACCACTCAGCCTTGCTAATATTCACCAAATGCACAAACTACCCAAATGCTGAATGTTCCTAAACACATCCAGTCTACCCTTGCTATCTCCCAGGGCTGCAAGATCAAATTCAGCTTAACTCGACCCCTTGGGTTTTCTTATGTTATAGCCAGCTGCCCCTGGAGCTGGACAGTCCTTTCCCTGGTAGGTGCTACTTGAAGGCCAAAGTTGCCATCTGTAAGGGCAAATAAACATTAAAAATGAGAGGCGTAAATAACAGGAGAACTCCCACCCCCATAGCACTCCCTCTTCTGAGATCACTTGCTTTAGAAAGCTACTTAATTGGAAGTCACTCTCTGAAATATATGTATCTCTTAAAGACCTCAGTAAGCCCCTTTCCAATTTCAACCCTTCTTTCTCAGACACCTGGGAACCTCTCCTTTGAAGAAATTGTCAAGAAAGTTAGTGTCTCCATCCTCAAGGTTTTAGGGGAGGAGAGGAGCCTAATTATGTCTCCCACTTCCAAAACTACCTCTTGCCATAAAGAGATGAAAAGCCAATTTTTCTTTTGGATGAAGGCAATTAACAAGCACTGAGGGTGTAACTCAGAGGAAGACAATTTGCCTGGTGTGCTTGAGGCCCTGGGTTCAATTCTCAGCACCAAAAAAGAAAAGAAAATGCAATTAGCAAATGCAAATGGCCACTCAAATAGTAGCCAGGTAAATCTGTCTCTGTGGCAAACGGTGCTGCCATGTCTTCCTACCTAGAAGAGTGATTGTTTATCCCGAGACGTGTAAGTAATGGATTGGATCTGCTTGGCTATGCTGAGATATAATATTCCTCTCTGTCTTTGTGGACACTTGGTAGATTGCCCGTGATACACGTCACATTCTGTTGGATGCTTATTCAATAATAAAAGTTTTTCCTTCTCTTCTGCCTTTGTGGGGAGCTCTGGTTTGAAGGGAGATTTTGTCTTTAATTGTAATTGCCCTCAGTGCCTGCGCTGTCCTTTAGCAAGAAGTACAGGCACTGGGGGAGAGGAAGGGAGAAGGGTTGCATAGGTTTGGGCACCACTTCAGAGAAGCACCTCAGTCCACCCAGACCTGGGGCTGGCCCACCCGCAGCTCCAGCCTGCTTCCTCCCAGAGCTCTCTCTCTCTGCCTTCACCTACACCCAGTGTGCACTGATGGTTAAACTTTTTTTGTTTCCCCCTCAACAACTCTGTCTGCTCTGAATAGGGGCCAGGTATGTCCTGGGCCCACCATGGAGGTTCCCAGATTCCATTTTCTATTCCCTAAATTCTCTTGGAGCCCGCGGTGAACCGCGTTCACCTGGAGCCTCATTTGTAACATTTTTAAAGATCACTTTTCCAGGCAAAGACTAAAGTGTGCTGTGCGTTTTCTGTGAAGAAAGATTATGTCAAGTAAATTTGTCAACGCATTTGCTGGAAGCATTGAGTTGACCCGAACGCCCAAATGAATCCTTTCTGAACGTTTGGCATCTCAGCACAGCGGGCTGTCCTGTGTAGGTTTTGTGTGTGTGTGTGTGTGTGTGTGTGTGTGTGTGTCCCCGTCCTCGCTGTGCTCCCCACGGTGTCGTGGGAGCCCACAGAGTGCTGGTCCATGTTGCTCTGGGCTGTGTCCTGACTTGGAGAGGCAATTTTGTTTAAATCCCCAGATTCTAATTCTTAATGCTGACTGCACTTTAGAGTCATTTGGGGAGCTTCCCAAGCCTTAGGCTCTTTGGAGCCCCTCCTCTCCTCCCAGAGTTCTGCCTTCACTGAGAGACCAGGGCACCATCTGTCCTCAAGCCCCTGAGACTGTTGAGGAGACTCAGAGCAGGAGCCTCTGCCACTTTCTCAGCGCCTGTGAGTTCAGAGTCCCGTCGGGTGAAGGTGTGAGACCAAGGCCTCTGCAACCTGGCTGCCCTTCACAGCACCTGGGGAAATTTTAAAAATTCTGATGCCTGGCACCAAGCCCAGCTATTCTGACTGAGACCTGGGCA